ATCTATCAACATTTGTGGTATAAGGAATTAAAGGTAAGAAAAAATATAGTTATCATTAATATCACTGATAAGTTTTAAAATAACAATAGTGATAATGCATGAATACCATTTTATAAAAATATTTAGTCTTGACAGGAAAAGACAATTTAGTGAGAAGAGCGGCATTATTTTACAGTTTTTTTCAAATATCTTTAATTTTTGGCTCGGTAGAAGACACTAGAATCTCCTACCTGCTTCCTAATTCAATCTTTGCAATATGTCATTTGGTTGAAGCACATGTAAGGATATGGCCTCAAACAAATATGTTGTGGAATATTAATTTGTTAGGGCTACCTTAACACAATGCCACAAACTGAGTGGCTTAAATGACAGAAATTTATTGCCTCACAGTTCTCCAAGGTAGATATCTAAGATCAAGATCTAAGATCAGACAGGTTTGGGCCCTGTCTGAAGGTGGTAGAGAAGGATCAGGCCTCTCTCCTAGCTTTCAGTAGTTCCTTGGCTTGTGGCAGTATTACCTTCAATCTTTATACAACACCCTGCCTGTGTATATCTGTGATTCTGAGTTTCAAAACTTCCCCTTTTTAAAAGGCTACCAGCTATACTTGGTTGGGGCAATCCTAACGACCTCATTTCCAAACAATTACCTCTGTGAAGACCCAACATCCAAATAAGGTCATATTATAAGGAACCAGGGGCTAGGATTTCACTATATTTGTGGGTGGGTGGGGGTGGGGGGCATTACAGTTCAACCTATAATGATGGAAAATGCAGGATTTCATAACACTTTCTTAAGAAGCTTTCAATTTCTCAGCTGTCCTTGGATCGTACTTGGGGAAACACTGCTTGAATTCAGTTTTATGTCTCAGGCTAGAAACTGCTCCTCTACACAGCTCTTCTTGGCCCCAGCACGTGGTGTAGAAGTCTTCTGTGCACCCTGATGCTCCTGGGCTGCCTCCTCTTTTAGAACATTGATTATACTGTATTAAAATTCCTTGTTAAGGGATCTTTTCCTTTACTAGATGTTACATAAAAATTGATTATTAGTTGACCAGTGGTCAGAAATTATTCTTTTTTATCTTGTATTTTGAGCGATATGGTCAAATATAATGTAAGCTGACTTTTGTTAGTTTTAAATCTCTTATTTAAAAACCTTTAAATTCTCTTTGACAGAACTATTTAAAAATAGTTCTCTTAGTAGATAACTAATATATATCCTTTTCATGATAGTAAAAATAGTCCTCTTAGTAGATAACTCTAATATATATCTTTTTCATGATAGTAAAAATAGTCCTTAGTAGATGACTCTAATATATATCCTTTTCATAATGATAGTAAAGCAGTAATTTAAAAGAGTAAATTAGTAATACAGTCTTTAAAATGCATTAAGCCATCTGTAGTAGATGTATTTGCCAGTGTTCATTAAAATACATTTTCATGGCTTCATTAGAAGTTTTTAAAATACAGCCTACTTAGGGAATGCAAAAAACAGTAGCTTTGGCTACTGGGGCTGTAGTTCAGTGTTAAAATGCTTGTCTTGCCCGCACAAAATCCTGGGCTTGAGCCCTTGTAACACATACACATATACACACATGCACACTCCAAACAAATAAATAAAAATCTAAACTATCAAGATGCAGGGACCATGATTTCCTACAGAATGTTTGGGATATCATATTGGTAAAATAAAATTTGTGCATTTGACTGTGGGTTAGTGAACAATGTGCAACATAAAAACACGCTTTGAAAAAAAACCACACTTTGTCTATTCTGGACCAAAAATGACAAAAAAGAGTCTATCTATATGTACACAGTTAATTCTAAACATTCTAATCTTGTTCTCCAGCTTCTCTTTTATATATGAATGTCAAAAATGATTAAATCTCGGTGGCAGCTTGGTTCATATCATTTAGTGGCCACCATCCTGCCCCACTGTGATCATGGGCCTGCTTTCTTTAGAGATAAAAGTTTGAGCGCTTTTTCCAAGCCAAGAATGTCAGCATTCCTGAAGATCTGTGAAAATACACTTTGATTAGAAACATGCTTATTTTGAAGGGAACTAGAAGTGATTTAGAGTTTGTTGGCTATATTTGGCAAGATGGTCACTGCTGAGGTTATAGCTTGGTGGCGGCTGCCCTTTGAAGTCAGGCTTTGTCCTTGTGGTTGATATGGATGGGAGAACATTCTGCATTGGATCAATTCTACTTTCAGGAGAGGAGTTTTAATACACGCGATTATGACAGAATGTGGTAAAGTGTTCCATCTTGACTACTGGGTTCATTTGGATTCCTTCTTTGCTGCCACAACCTACAAATAAAAGAGGAGGGAGTTCGGAAAAGTTTTCATGAAATTCCTAAACTCTGAATCAATGCTTATTATTTTCTCCCTTTTCCAACTTAATTTCCTATAATATTCTCCCATATGTAAATAATTTTTTCTAAAATTATTTGTCTTTCTGCTGACTGAGGGAACGCCTGAATTTATGTCAATGTGGTATTGATGCCTGTTACTTTAGATGCTAGATTTAGAATGAATTTTAGATTTGTTTTCTTGAATGTTTTAATTGGTTGAATATTTTTAATTAGCAAATTTAAATTAATGTTTTTAAGCAATATTTGCTAAAAGTTACTTATTTTATAGGAATCCTTGAGACTGGTTGGAAAAGGTAATAATCTATACTAAAAAGTATTAAGACTTATTAAACTATGCTTTGGAAAGACTTAATGTGGCAGTATTAAGTTAATTAAATATAAAATAAGAGTAAAAATACTAGTGGTAGTTAAAAGATTTTTTAAGGTTTTTATGGGATTTTATTGAGTAAATAACAATGATAAAAATATAATAAGAGTAATTTATATAGCGTTTTCTTGGAGCTAAGTATGTGTAACCCTTACAATCATCCCCTGAGACACATTCTAGCATTCTCTCCAAGGTTCACTGAGGCAAAGCACCTGTTAAATAACAGGTGTAGTTAAATAACAGCTAGTAAGTTGTGGAACTGAGATTCAAATCTCAACAGCTAGGCTCTGGAGCCAGTGCCCTTAGAAAAGCAGACTTCTAAGCATATTTGTTTTGGTTTTTTTGGAAGGGTTTTTAAATATTGCAGTGACGTTATCTGATTTGAGGTTTTTTGAAAATTAATTTTATTGGTACATTTTAGGTATACAATATGACATTCATCATTGGAAATTTGCACCTTTATGTAATCTATCTTGGTTCTTATTTTTTTCCCATTCCCCTGCCCTCCCTTCAACCCCTCCACCCTTCCCTATTTACATAGACTTTTTTAGAGTCACATTTTGTGTTCAATATCTTATTGCCTCAGTTTTGCTGATCCTTCCTCTTAAAGATGCATGGCCTTCATTCTGACTTTCTGTTTTCTGGGCAGCCCTCCTTGGCCTATTCTGTTTTTTGCTATTCTTTCTTCTCACTTTGCTATCATCAAAATATGTCAGTCTTCTCAGTTTGCAGAATTCTGATACCTGTGAGTTGGTTTTTATTAGCATATCAGGCCTGATAACATTGTCAGAGACATATAATTTCTCCTAAATACCTTATGTCTGATCATTTATAATGTGCATTCATCCAGAAGGCCTTTAATAAATAGTAGCTGTAATAAAACGCTATGGAAATTTCAGGTCATATTAGTACCTACTATTAATTAGGCTCTGATTAAATGTGTTGAGCTTCTCATACCAGATTTCCATTCTTTGCCTGTATGGTGAAGTTGGTGTTACACCCTCTGTAAATAAGGAAACAGGGTCCCAAACCAAGATCTTTGCCCATGGGCACAGAATCACAGATTGGACTGTCTGGCTCATGGCTCTCTCCTAACTTCACTTTGTATTCTGGCTGCTCTCACAAGCCTCTAGAGATGTGGGTCCTAAGATGTAATCTGTGCCAGGTCTAGGGTTCTACATTGGGTGACCAATAACCTCACAAAAGAGCCCAGATGGTTCTCTTTTTCTTTTCCATTTTTTCTTTCTTCACCTTTAGAAAACTCTTTATGAAGAGTACTCTCAATACATTATTATTCTCCTTCTAAAGTATCATGCTCATATGGTATTTTGTAAAATTTCATGTGAAATTACCATGATAAAAATCTTGCTTTACTTAATCATTTTAAGTGGTTTAATCCTTTGGTTACATATCTTTGGAGCAGTTATGCTCATTGTTTTGGAATATTTATCAGTATTCTAGACTTTCTTCTGGTGTTTTATTTGAACAAGGTATATAAATGAGCATTATATCATTTATCTTTCTGTTTTGTAGTAGTGATTTGAAGCTTTCATATCTGAATTCAAAACTGAACAAAGATGTGAAATCATTTGTAACTAATGGAGTAGCTAAGGGAGACCTCTGCTTGGGGTGATGGACAGCTATTTTTTAAAGGATGAATAAACTTCCTTTTGGTTCTCTGTGCCCTTCATAGATCCCTAATCTTTAACGTGACATACTTCTTTCCACAGTGCATCTGAAAAAATGCCTACAGGTCATTTTCTAATTTTTACACCACTGAACAGAGTGAACTGCTTTTATGAGTTCAGTGTGTGTTGAGGAGAAAATTGTGGTTTTCTAGTTAAGGAAACACTTTCTGCCACTGTACTTCAGTGAGATCAACCACTCCTACTTTTAACATTCATGCTACAATTCTTAGTGGAGTAGGATGGCCCACTACTCAGGGACATTGAGACTATCTGGTCATGCCTTTTTGTATGAAACAACAACAAAGGTAGTCCTGGGCAAGATTGTCCCAAAATGTGGTGATCCAATGTCATTGAAGTCCTCACTTGTCTTCTTGGTCGCTGCTCCTTTCTCCAATTGCCTATTGTTTTGTGTTCTCACTGGACTGCCCCCAGTTGAAAATATCATCTCCAACAAGACTTTACTTTGTTTTTCACTTATTGGTCTCTTAAAATTTTTCTCTTATCTTCATGGTCAACCCTGACTAGTCCTCAAGGTTGTAGTCTGGAAGGCTTTTTTTAAGGCTCTATGGGTCAAAGTAGTATACTCATGGAACGCTAGAGTTGGAAGAAACTTCGGAAGTCATTCTGGCCTACAGATTGAACAGGTGAGAATTAGAGTTGGAGGCTTTAGGTGAACTCCCACAGGGGATTTCTACTCTGTGACTCCTTGACTAAACCGGTTTATGCTAATACCTCCATTTGGAAATGTCTTTACTTAGGTTTAATGGGACCTTCAAGAGCTTAGACCAGTGTTTTCTAAACTTGGTTAATTATAAAAATAATCTCCTTCAAGATTGTAATTTTCTAAGTCTGGGCTGAAAATAGGAAATTGCACTTTTAACAGGCTCAGGTAATTATAATGATTAGCATATGTTGGGAAAAGGCTGACTTACAGTGTTGTACGCACCAGGTACCAAGTCCTAATAATGCAGTTTTAGGAAATTGAGTTTCTCTAACTCGGTTCACTTAAGGTGACTGTATTGATTATAAAACAGAAATAGCTCCCCCTTAATGAAAATTAGAAGTACAACAGAGTTTCTTAGACTCAGAGGGCCCCCAAATTAGTGTTTGTTGACATAGGAAATACAAACATAATCATAGACCTGAGTGAAAAATAAGTGTCTTTCTAGGTGGCAGGAGAGTCACTTATAATGAAGGGGCTCTGTTTGGGGCCAGCATATCTTGGTAAGAAATTTCAGGGAAAAGGTGAGAAGGAAAATACAGAGGTTAATAAACCATTCTGCATCAGAAAAGAATGGGAATTTGAGTTTAGGGAAGAGGAAAGAGAGAAGAGAGGATAGAAGTGGAAAAGACTAAACAATATGGGGAAGTGGCAACCACTGTAGTGAAGATTCTTCATAGTCACTGTTCAGTTGTTTATGTTGCTAAAACATTAACTTCCCCTTCTTCTTCAGACTGTTGGCAAAGTCAACTTCACTTATAACAGCCTTGCATTATCTTTGCAGACATAGGATATGAATGATATACACCTAACTTCAGGTATGTAGGACCCTGACAGAATATGTAGAACTGTAAAGAGATCAAACCAATTCAATAAGAGAAAGAGCTTGGATTGAGGGTGTCCATGGCCAGAGGCTAAACAGGCATTCTATATACACAGAAAAATGCCTTTGTCTTTCATGATTTTGTCCTGAAACATGTGTTGACTTTGTCAGGATGCTCTAAATGTCCTACATTCTGCCTGTCTTGTTTATTGCTAAGTCTGGCAATCTGACCTTCAGGCTACAACTGCCCTTGAAAATTTGGAGAAATTTTAGGGGGGACCTGGAAATTTCCACAAATTGTGAATGAGGTTTCAGATAATTCTCCCTGTATTATTTAGGGCAGGATGATTTTAGCCGATGTCAGTTACAAATGGTCAGTTGAATGCAGTGTCTTCCAATCTTGGCTCATATTTATAACCTGGGAGCTTATAAAAGATTATGCCTAGATTTCATCCCCAGAATTCTAGTTTGTATTACATGGTGTAGGGTCAGGTTTCAGTATTGTTAAAACTTCCCAAAAGATTTAAAGTGAAGCCAGGATTGAGACTAACTGGTCTGGGGAGAGCCATCCTTCATGATGTTTTAAGCACATCCAGGTGTGATGGGCAAATCTTTTGATCAGGGGCTTAGGTAAAAAGGGGGAGTGGAATGAACTCCAGTGAGGAGACTATTTCTATTGGTGTGTACTTGCCAGGCCTGAAATATGTGTCAACTAGAAAATGATCTGTTTCTTTCCTACTATATAATTACACAACAAATGGGGAGAAAACCCAAGTTTCTTCTATCCACACTGCATTAGGATATAGCTAAAGTAATGGAATTATATAGTAAGAGATTTAAGGCAAAGGTTTAGTTTATATGATAAGTCTGAACTCTGTAGAGTTCAAGGCAGGAGGCAGGACAGGTTGGAAATTGAATGTCACTCAATGAAGTCCCAGATCTGCTCTGAAGGCTTTTGAACAGATTGAATTAGGCCTAGATTACCTTGCATCATCTCTTTTACTTAAAAGCAACAGACTATGGACTTTCATCACCTTTACTAAACACCTTCACAGCAACACTTAGATTAGTGCTATATTGAGGGCCTGGGGACTAGAGTCCATCCAGTTTGACCCAACAAACTAACCAACACATCTACTTCATACTTTTAATTCTTTCTTAAATGTCACTGAAGCTGCTTTACTGCGACTATCCAATCAGGAAGAGGAAATACACTACAATAACTTAGCTAAGGTGACTTATTGTTTGTTATCGCTTTTCCAGCCTGCATGGCTCAGCAATGACAGAAAAGCTTGGTCCCTGTCTTTCCTGTTTGTGGTAGAAAGAAGCTAGTAGGAAGGGGGAAAAGAGGAGGGGAAGGGAGAGGGAGAGGGAAGAGAGAGGGAGAGGGAGGGAGGGAGAGAAAGAGAACAGAGAGCCAAGCTCCTACTCAGAGCCTGTGGACTAGAAGAAAACAGTGCATGGAAGAAGCTAGAGATCCATTTATAAACTTATTTGGGCAGTTGGATGTGAGGACCCAGTTTCTTTTTATTTAAAATTCACGGAAGGTTCCTTTCTTTAGTGCACAGGTGGTGCTAATAAAATAGAAGTTGTGAGTGTGATTTCTCTCTGAGTCATTTAACTTGAGTGCTCCACAAGAACAGATTGCACCCCCCACCCTGAAAAATCCTCTTAAAAATTGCCACAGCTGCTAGGTATGGAGGAATGCAAACAGCTCAATGCAAAATTCATTCCTAACACGAGAAAAAGTCTCTCCTACATTCATATCCTCCTGTTTATGCATAGTCTTTGCTGCATGAAGAATGCCCTGGGTCAAGAGTTAGCAGACACCGATGCCTGTGTCACCAATGCACCATCATCAGCTCATTTTCTTCATCAGCAAAATGGTGGAGCTGACGAAATGGGAGCTGTCTTCTAGCCTCCGGGCTCCATGATTTTGAAGGGCAATGTTCTTCATTCCATAAATTTTTAGCACAGAGTGTGGCATGGTGGTTAGCTGGCCCTTCAGATTTTCTGGAATCCTGGGATTGTGGTTAACAGAATTGTTAGAGAAGCTACAGTTCAGCATAGGAGTGACCTTTAAGCTAACAAGTGTCAGCTGCTTTACTTTATATTTGAACATTATTGTCCAAACCTGGGACACTTTTGAAAATGAAAAGAGGTGTTTTAAGATTATGCCAGAATAATGGATATAAATTGGGACAGACTGAAACTCAAAGTCACCTTGGATATAAGCAATGAAGTCAGATGGAACAGTTTTGATCAGAGAAATGATTTTGCTTTTTCCAATTATTCCAATAATTGAATGAAAAAGTATGTGTTTACATATGTGGCAAAACAAAGTATACTTTCTAGTTTTGCTGAAAGGAAATTCATCTGTTGCTAAGTACTAAATGAGCTGGGGAAGAGACCAGAGCCAAGGAGACTAATAAAAGACTACCAGAACAATCCTGGCAAGAGCCAGTGAAGGGCAAGAGAAGGCCTGGAATTATTTTTAGGCAATCAGTAGTTATAGTACCAAGAAGGAAACATGAGACCTACTCTGGGCATTCAGAAGAAAATCATCAGTTATAAATGATGAACAAACAAAAAAATGTGATTTGGTAGTTATTAAAAAGGTCATAATTTATTGACTTAAATATAGGGGTTGGTTCTGTGGAATCATCTATTGCTCAGCAACACAAAGAAGGTACCAACTCTTTGAACCTTGAGATTCAGCACTTGCCTTTTCTCAAAATAGAAGCATTTGGTAGCTTTCTCGGCTGAATGCCCTCACATAAAGCCAAGCCTGTCGGGAGGGATGAATGGATAAATGTTTCTGGAGATATTTTGTCCTGGGATTGTATCATTAGGACTAGTAAAGCATGTCTAATTTATCTAATGGATTATAACGTCTTGGAAATGGCTATAATGATCTATTTACACAGAATGCCTGAGGGCACAGACCATTTGTATAAATAAGCAATTATGTTCCCTGCTGTCAGGATATTTTTGGTCTGCAGATCAGTTACCTGAAGCCTTTAGTGTTAATTTAGTAGCAATTATATCTAGTATATTATAAATCTTCAAATAATCATTGTGAACAGGAGCTGCTTGAGTCTTAGCTATTTTCGCCTAGTTCTACAGCCAGCCTGCAACATTTTATTTTTAAGAAGAGAAATGATATGGAAGAGTCCAAAGAACATCCCAGATCTACTTTATGTGCAGTGTTGAACATGACCCGAAGTATATGTGTCTTCTTTTCTTGGAAAGAAATGAGAAAATTTGGCTGGAAGCATAGTCAATGACAGGGACAACATGTGAGGATATATGTCTACTTGTTAGTTTCATCTTCAACATGAAGTTTCTCTATTGTCTCCAGTTCTCCAATGGCTTTTAGTCATGTTTCACCAGCAATTATGTTTGTAGTTTTACCCAGAAATATAATGGAGATTTTGTGTGTCTCCATCATACAATATGATGGAAAACTCTTTCTTCCTCCATCCAACTGATACACTTATCTAACCAGAAATAAGTCCATTCTACTGCTCACAAATTTACTTCTGACTGCATTGGACCTTTTTTTTTTTGTATTAAATTCTTTTATTAGTACATTGTAGGCATACAACACAATTACATTTCTCATTGGGAATTGTACCTTTACATAATGCATCTT